TCGTAAAAATAATATATTTGAAAAATAGAGTTGCCACTTAGTTTTCCTAAAGGTGAAAACAATTAAAAAAAAATACAACTAGCAAACTAGTCTAAGAGTTACGGCTAAAGAAATTAATTAAAAAAATTAGAAAAGACTATGGTCATCCTATGTGCCTCATAATGAGGGTACCATTCGGTTCTATACTATCGGAATTTGCTTATACAAAGTCTAATTATGTGTCTACTTTTCTATACTGATTTATAAGTTGATTATTGAGCTTTTCTATCCAATCATAAATAAGATGATTTAGAGATGAAAATAAGACTCAATCTCTCACTTAAGTTCGTTATTGGGTTGTTGCGGTCCACTTGAAAATGTAAAAGTTAAGCCTTAGGCCAATTTGTAAATTAAAAAACCCAACCTCATTCAAAGATATATAAAAATAACATAAAATAAATATGGACCATAGGTGTAATTCACTTGTCAACCCATGAAATAAACATTACAAGTCTAAGGTAAAAAATAAAAAATAAAAAAATAAGAAGAAATCCAAAAATATGGATTGGGTCTCGAGCCCATATCCACCTTTCATGCTATTTTTTAAATAATAATATTAGGCTACAAAACCAACACCAATTTTAAAACTAAATCAGCAAGAAGGTAAGGTTAGTAACACTAAAAAATAAAATGAAATAAACAAAAATAATAACAAGAATAAAAAAAAATGTAATAATAATTAAAAAAAAAACTCCATCATTGGAATAAAGTTGGTCTCGGATTCTAACCCTATTTTATCTAGACTAACATCACAATAAATAAACATGAGTGCTAAACATAATAAAATTAAACATGCAAATATCATAAATCATGTAAAAATGGCTTGATGAAAAATAAAATAGCCAATTACCTTTCTCATGGTCCTTGGCATATTAATTCATATTGGCCTAGTCTATTTTTTCACCATAAGAAACAAAATTTTAGCCTATTACTAGCTTGATCATCGATTAATAGTTCATCAAGGTACTTTTATTGAGTAAAATAAGAAGATTTATATATTGTATAGCATGTATCGCTCTTTGCCCCTTAATAAATAAAAATAAAAAAATTCAATTAAAAAGTAGGATGAATCTTAATAATATCACATACTCTTTATCATAGTTAGATTAAATTTAAGATAGACAAAAAAAAAAAAAAAAAAAAAAAAAAAAAAAAAACCTTAAATTTAAAGCTTTTTAAATCTATCAAATCACATCAAGAACTTCAAATTCAAATATTTTCAATTAATCTCAAATTAAGTAACTTTAACTCAATAAATCATTTAAATCTTATGTTAATTACCTAAACAATATTATTAGAATGTGAAAAAATAATATAATTATGAAATATGTAAAAATTCAAATGAAAATTAAATTAAGAATAAAGCATGCTGAGATTTAATACATAAATAAAAAATTTAGGTATCAAATTAGATAAAAACAAAGCAAAAGATAAAAGATCGGACGTGGTGTGTGTGGTAGGAGCAACATTAGTGTACTTGAGCACATGATTATGGCCTACTAACTTTCCAAAATGCCTTAACATTCCACCAACACTCACAAATGTCAAATTCCTCTCTCTCTCTCTCTCTCTCTCTCTCTCTCTCTCTCTCTCTCTCTCTCTCTATATATATATATATATATATATATAAAAGCAAGCTTAAAGCTAGGATGAATTAGTTAACAAATTGACTAGGAGAATGATTCTTGAATAAGGTGAAACTTTCCTATTACTCATTCTCTCTCTCTCTCTCTCTCTCTCTCTATATATATATATATATATATACACACACACACACACACACACCCGTCTCACTATCTCTATCTTCCTTTTTCTTCCCCCTCCTCTTTTCTTTCTCTCCCCTCCCTCTCCTCTCTCCCCCCCCCCTCCTCTTTTTCTTTTCTCTTTTCCTATCTCTATCATAATAGAAGCTCCCTCCCTCTCTGGCTCTCTCTCTCTCTCTCTCTCTCTCTCTTTTCATCTCCCTCTTCCGCTACCTCTCTCTCTCTCTCTCTCTCTCTCTATCATAATAGAAGCAAGCTAAAAGCTAGGATGAAGTAACCAATGAATTGACTAGGAGAAAAGGTGAAACTTTTCCTATCCCCCCCCCTCTTTCTCTTTCTCTTTCTCTTTCTCTTTCCATCTCTCTCTCCCCCTATCTCTATCATAATAAAAGTAAACTCAAAGCTAGGATGAATTAGCTAGCTAGTTGACTAAGAGAAAAGGTAAAACTCTTTCTCTCTCATAATAGAAGCAAGCTCAAGACTAGGATAGATTAGCTAAGTGACTTCGGATATGAAAACGGAAGAATAATAAATATTAAAGATTGAGTAGTAATATAGAAGAAATTACTAATTGGATACTAAAACATTAAAAAATAAAATAAAAAATTGAATACACGGTTTTCTCTTATTAATTTGATAGACGAGCTTCTCTTTTATCCGTCGAACATACAATGTCGTTTTGAAAAAGTACACATATACTAGTTAAATAGAGAGAGTTTGTGAGTGTCAAAAAGGCGACAATCGAGAGGATTTACATTGCATCCGATAGAAGAAAGGCCATTGGTATTCTATTGCCCAAGTAGGTCTATTAAAACCACACCTAAAAGATGAGGTTAATGATCCTATAATACATTAATCAAGATACTCACATGCTTTTTTATGAGCCCACATGACATAATGAAGATAAAATAAAATAAAATAAATAAAAATTGAGGTGTTTGTTCTACATAAAATATATTTTCTATATTTTTCTTTTTTTTTTTTTTTAAGAAAAATGGATCAAAGTTTACAATCAATTTTTAAACTCAATTAATTTGATGGAAAATATTTTAAATTTCATAAAAGATTTTATAAATCATATTTTATTTACAATATTATCCAACTGTTTTAACCACTACCATTATGATCTCATCGTCACCATCATTGTCGTCACCGACATTGACACGACCTCAACCGATCCACTATCATCTCCACCTCTCGCAACCACTTCGCCGGTAGCACTATTATCCTATCTACCGCCACCACAACTACATTACCTTTACCACCACCACTCAACCTCTACATTCATCACCATCATTATTCAACCACTACAACACATCATCATCATTATTTTATGTAAATATTTAAAATAAAACAAAATATTATCGATAATTGAATGAATTACAATCAACTCATGTAGAGTTTATATAACCATACAACGACGAAAAAAATATATAATAAACTAAATTATACTAAATGCTTGGAACATCTTTTTTGTTTAGATGGTTGAATTAATTTTCTAATCGTCTTGAATTGTTCAATTTCTTGATTTCTTCCTTTTATCGATAAGAAAATGATTACAATATTTACCTTGATTATTTCCTCAATATTCTATTATCATCGTATTTTTCAAATCATTATTCACTAATCATTGTAAAAAATTCCATGTAAAAGAAAACATTTTATATATTGAATAAATTACAATAACCTCCTTTGGTACCAAAAATGCTCTTAATTGCAATTTTGAAAAACAAATGTAAGTTAAATATTTAAAAAAAAAATAGAAAAAGAATATAAAAAACTGGTCATAACTAGTTTTTAGTGCATAAACAATATTAATTGTAGTCAATTTCTTTTATTTTTTAAATATCTCTAATTTAAAAAAATGATTCAACTATTTTTTAAAAACAGTAATTAAGGGTATTATGAATATAACATAAGGTTTCTAGATACAACGTGAAAGATAGAAAGTGAAAGAGAAAGTGGTAGGTCAATAGACCTTTTTTATGGTCTCCCAAAACTAGGTAACAGTGCAAGGATCCCTCGATAAACAAATAATTGCGTAACAATCTTCATGCCCTCCTTGATTTTGTATTTGTTTGGGTTTTAATTAATGGTATGATATATTATATTTCTGATAAAAAAAAATTATAATTTCTTTTTTATTTATCATCGTACGAACAAAACATTCTCATTAGATAAAAGGAATTCTTGTAGAGAAAAGAAAAGATATCAAGATCCCTTAAATGGTGGTAACATTATTAAAGGCTTTTTGCTGCTGTTAGTTTTTTTTTTTTTTTTTTTTTTTTTTGCCCCTCCAACATCTCCAGACCATTCCTCCCCTTTCTTTACGAATAAATTTATATATATATATATATATATATATATATATATATATATATTGCAAAATGAATTAAATAATTTTTTTGTTTTAAAAATTATTTAATTAATTTTTTTACTAGTGTTATCACGATCAATTTAATATTATTGTATTTAAAAAAATCTTTTTTTATCAATTTTTCATACTTTTTTACTTATTTTTCCTTTTTATATTTATTAAAATAAATTAAAATAATTAAAATAATTAAGCTCAAATAAATTTTAAAATATAAGAACTAACTAATTAATTATTAAAACTAGAATAACTATTTAATTTTTTTCAAAAACTAGAGAAACTATTTATAATTTACTCTTTCCCTAAGGTCTCACCGCAATCGACAATTCGCAGACAAATGGTACCATTTCTAGGGAGGTCCGTTTCCCTTTTATCCGAATGAACGAAAGTATGGAAGGAATTTTGCTTCTATGGAGACAGAAGTGAAAGCTCGTAAAAACACCTAACTTATATTTTACTAATTATATATATATAATAACCTCTTAGTAACTTTTTTCGATACGAGTAACATATTTTATATTTTCATGGCCTACAACTTCATTTAAAGAAAATTGGTCTTGAAAAAAAAATAATGTACATAAACACTGAATATGTATATATATATGCCTATAACTTCATTTAAAGAAAATTGGTCTTGAAAAAAAAATAATGTACATAAACACTGAATATATATATATATCAAACAAAGTTAATCTAGATAATCTTAGAAAAAAAAAACTACAAATTATTTTTTATATATATTGAAAAAAAAAATATCGATATATATAAATTCTGATATAAAAGTCTATCAGCTCACCTCCATATTCAAATAAATTAAGTATTTATTACTTGCCTCCACCTCTACTTCCATAGAGAGAAATCTCTCCATACCCATCTCCATTCAGATAAATGAAGGGAAAACTGTCATCCCTAACTATTTCATGGCCTGTTTCCTAGAAAAAAGAATGTTGTCTCACCAACAGTAGTCACTCTTCCGTCTGCGCACCCCAAAACTGAAGAAACCCATGCAAAAGTGTTCAAAACGCTAAGTCTATAACTGATGGCCTCCACTTACAGCTTCTTTCGGATCGGAATGATCAGAACGCAATCTTCTGCTAAAGGTTTCTATACAGTCTGGTGAAAGGAACTAATAGAATTATGCAACAGCTACATGATTTGTACATCTCTTACGGAGAAAGATACAGAATCTGGGATCAGTATACCAGCTTCACGAAAGCAAATGGTCCAACGCAAGCGGCCAGTCTCAATGGACCTTTTCTCGTGAGGGTCCCAACAGCCTGTGAAATAGCAAATTTAATGGAACCAATAGCAAGGCTGAGCAGCGGCGCTAAGGTTCATAAACAAACAGAACGAATTTCAACAATTACTACAGAGGATTATAGGTTGCAAAAGAACAAAGCTCGGCCCACCCCCTGCCCTTTGGATGTTTACAAAGGTTAAATTCCGTGAGCAAACTGGTCTAAGAACGTGTCTTCCAATTGGTTGGCATTTGCATTTGGCACCATTGACGCAGCTTTGTAGGAGTGGCCCATTCTTGCAACTTGCTAGCCATTAGCCAGTTTCCCGCAATCCACACGCTCACCTTGAATTTCTACATTTGGCTCAATGCCAAAAACCAAACAGAACAAATACTGATTTTACAGAGAACCATTCCCAAAAAATCACAGCTATTAAATTTATGAAACTCACTCCAACGGATGAGATTCCTCAAGGCGTGATTTCGGATCAAATCTCAACAAAATTTAACCTTATTCAAAAGAAAAACTATTAACAGATTCTAGTTCCACATAATTACTCACCACTATCACCAATCTGCAAAATAGTTACTGTAGCATTACGGTTAGGAGTAACCCGTTTTATCTATTCTGCAAAATAGTTAACCTGTAAATGAAAGGAAAAGTAAGGAGTCACTTGAATCAAAATATTTCCATGACTAGATCACAATAAAAATAAAAATAACTAAACAAATACTGCTAATTCATTTCTTTCCTTCAAATAACACCAGGAAAATGAGGTTTATCAAACATCATATTCACCCAATCAAAGATAAACCAAATAGACTAAAAAAAAATACTAGTACAACATGACTCCACATAAAAAGGACTTCGATCCGCATGCAAGAAAACCTCCACCTGCACACCCATTCAGTGATCGAAGGTAAGCAACACTTGCTTATGCAACAATGGACTTTGTAACACTCTCTCCATGCCACTCCATAGTATAAGGCAAAAAAATCAAGCATGGTTGACCAGGTAACATTGTTGCTATTGTACCTTCCCAACCCCCTTCTTATTGGACGCTGTAGTATAGACTGACCTGATAGGCACCTCTTCAACCACAATGGACTCTCAACCAGACTGTAACCAGACACAAGGTGCCGATAACAGACCCAACTTGACCCCAACACATTTGTCACCCCAATCATGAACTGCTCCACCATTCCAAAATACAGTTTCCTGGGGTAAACCAATTAAGCAAAACTGAGACTTCCAAAAAAAAAAAAAAAAATTACTTGGTGCACAAATAAAAATCATTAGTTTCCAAGGCCAAACTACAAGAGAAAAAATAGAGATTTGAGATTCATGAGTAATTCAAGCTTTACTAACCTTACAGATTAAGATAATATTATGTCTATTCAAAAGTATTTTACATACCTTCAGCTAAAAGTTGAATCCGCCAGATGGAACTTGAACATCGTTCCCACCAAATTGAAATCCTTGCTGGGCACCATCACCTGAAGGTAAAGTCTCATCGTCTTCTTCCAACCAATAAGTCTCAAGAATCTTGACTGCCTTCTCATAGATCTCATTGTTGTCATGACTCTGTAGATTTTCAATTTTTTCTAGTCCCTCAGCATCATCTATCATCTGGGCATAGAAATTTACATCTCCACTGTTCCCCAAATTCTTCTCAGCTTCCCCAACCTTCAGAATATTCTCTAATCCTTCGAGACATACAGTTACAATCCTTGGATCAGGGCATACAAGAAGATCACACAATGGTTTAATACATCCCTGACTGACCAAAAACCTGTCATCCAAAAACAAGCAGTTACTTTTCTGCCAATAGAACCAGAGAACATTAACCCAGCAAGTAATAACAAAAGTTTTTAAACAGATGAATAAGATAAAGAATAACATACCTAATTTGCTCATGAGTACCACCAGAAGTAGCGTTAGAAACTGCCCAAGCAGCTTCTTTCTTTATATCGAACTCCGCATTTTGAAGTAAATTAATGAGTGGGCCAATTAAACCAGCCTCAATAACAGCCTACATAATTTAGAGAAGATAAAAGAGTAAAAATCCAGAAGCATATGAAGCTTTCAATCTCACATACAAGGAATTCAAATCACAAGTGCTAATGAAGATAACAATACAGAGCAATTCAATAAATAAATTCAGAATTTCAATTAGAAGAGTCCAGAATACTTCTAAGATCACTGACAAAACAAAACAAAACAGAAACAACCTAACAGAGCTTAAAACATTAACTCCCAAGTCATGCATGCTCACCTGAATCTGGTCCTTGTTCCCAGCAGTAATGTTTGAGATCGTCCAGCAAGCTTCTTTCTTGATGCTCTTTTTATGGTTATGAGTCAACAGGCTTAGAAGGCATGGGAGTGCACCAGTGTTAATTATGCACTGTAAAGGAGAGATGTGTCAAAGTTAGGTATGCAAAAACCAACATTTCAAGCAATAAAAGGATGACATCATGCAGAAGAAGAGCAAGATCGGTATCATAGCTACAATAAACCACAACGAGAGAGAGAGAGAGAGAGAGAGAGAGAGAGAGAGAGAGAGAGAGCTTTTGCTATGACAATTGCAAGCAATTTTTTCATGCTCTCACTACAGCTCTCCTAATTACACAAGTATTTCTAGTTACATGCCTTGCCTTTTCCTTATTCCTATTGAGGGAATCATATTTTTCAGTTTTAACAGATTCACTGCTTCATTTTCAACTATACTGGTCAAGTACAACGAGAAAGAGTTGATGAAACTGCTGAGCATAGAGCATGTGCGGTTCAGGGATGAATGTTGAGGCTCAGTGTCTGTGCTACCTAGGTATTTAAAGCAAATGCATGAACAAAATTTAAATGGCAGTATTCACCATGCAGAGACACCCATAACATGTGTTCTAACACTATATGGAAGGGACCTAAAAGACAGGACAGCAGTGAGGAGCTTCCAAAGAGAGGAAAGGGGGAAGAGGGGGAAGCTAAATAAGGGTCAGGTAATTACCCTTTATATTAAGGCAGGGAGGAGAAAAGAATACAGGTGCTCAAGTCAAGCAGCAGGATAGAGTAGGAGAGGACAGAGGGAAGGCCGGTTGGTGAGAGCGCAAGTTGCCTTACCCAGACAGAAGAACATACGGATTACGGTTTACCTAAACAAGCAGAATTGTATCTATTGTTTTCTAAAAGGTGTTGGGGTTGACAAGTAAAATTAAAAAGGAGGTTAAAATTTTTACTATTAGGAGGGGACGGAGGGTCAGAGGTGGAACTACGTGCATTGGTGGGGAGCCATGGTACCCCCAAATTTTGAAATTTTTACATTGTAGTCCTAAAATTTTGAAAGTTTTTAATTACACGCTTCAATTTACATGTTTTGCACCACCAAAAATCAATTATCTTCTTATTAGACCACCAAACCCTACATTTCTAGTTCTGCCCCTGCTGAGGGTCTTACAGCCCAATCCCTTTCCTTCTCTTTATAGCAAACCTCTAATATTCAACAAGTATAACTTCTGCATAATATTATTTAGCTTCTTCAGTCTTTATAGAAAACCTCTAACATGGTCATATTCTCCATCATGATGCAGAAGCATCAATATTGATAATATTATGAATAAAAGAATCCATGTAAACTATATTATAACAATGTTCCAAATCAATAACTTATAGAAAAAAAAATTATGTCAGATGGATTCAGTCATTAAAGGCATTTCTGTTGCACAGAGGATGGAACAAACAAAAAGTCAGAAGTGCCTTTACCTGGGTCTGCATATCATCCCCCGTCACAATATTTCCAACTGTGCGGAGGGCAGGAACAAGCACAGAAGGAGAAGGATGGCTGAAACAAATTCATATGTGAATGAGCAGGGTTTTGTATGCAGATAATGAGATAAAAGAAAATATTAAAGCAATCAATCAATAAAATGCCACACTCACAGAAGGAGCTCCACAAGTCGTGGACAGACACCTGCCTCGATAACAGCTTGGATTTTGTCATTTGTACCATCAGAAAGATAAGAGAGTGCCCAACAAGCATCAGTTAGGACTTCTTCATCAGTTGAATGTACAAGACGTTCAAGTGCAGGAAGGGCTGGCCTCACCTGCCCAATAACTTTCATAAGTTAAAAACCTTCAACTTTCCACAACATCAAAAACCAAAAACTTATGTTATGCCCAATCAATGCACAAAATCTGGCAATAACCTGCTCGAATGGAGGTTGTGGCTTGCCCCTGCAGAAGTTTGATAGCGTCCATGTAGCATTCCTCAGCATTGAAAGCTTTGCGTGTTCATTCAACTGTGCTAGCAATGGAATTATAGCTCCATTACTGAGCACAAGATCACGGCACTTAGGGGAGTCACCAGCAACATTTCCCAAAGCCCACACAGCCTAAAATTTCACCAACAATTATATTAAATTAATAGATCCTCTTCCTAACCACACCAAGCACATTATATAATTACAATTCCCACATCATCACAGGGAGAACCAAAATTCAACGACATACCTGCTCCCTAACATCATCACTGGGAGAACCAAGAAGCTTGACAAATATTGGAACTGCACCATGATCAATTACCACCTTTGTGTTCTCTGAAGTTCCAGAGGCAATGTTTGTGAGAGCCCAAGCAGCCTCAAACTACAAAAGTTCCAAAACATGACAACAAACACGTTACAACCCATTCGACTTCAAACAAATCAACAACATTATCACAGAAACACACACCTGAAGCTGAGGGAAATCCTCCCAAACAAGAAACTCAACAAATCGTGGAACAACTCCAGCTTGTATAACTTCCTCTATTGGAGGACTCCTCTCTGCCAATAACAACAGCAATTAATCCATATTTACCTGAATTTTTACTAATAGAAACATAAACTTTGAAAAACAAAAAAAAAACAAAAAAACAAAACAAAACCAATACCAATCGAAAGCAGTTTTCGAAACTGAGTAGTTGCTTCCAGCTGCAAATTACTATCATCAGACCAAACATCAGCCACCATCGAAGGCAAACTCTCTAACTGCAAAAATGTACAAATAGAAAAAAAAAAAAAAAAAAAAAAAAAAAAAAACCCCCACTCAAAGCATCAAAACCCTAATCAACAAAATCCAATCACACAAAACATCTAACAATCGACAAGATCCACAGTTCAAATACACATATAAATTGGCATACGAGTATAGTGAAGTTACCTTCTTTTCCATATTAGAAGAGAGAACAGCGGCAGGGAACTGCTGTGCCTGGAGACCTTCGCGTCGCTTCTTTTGCAAACTCTCTTCACGCTTGTTCTTGCGGATCTCTACCATATTGTCCTCTCTTCTGCGGCGACCTTCATCGGCGTCGACTGCCACTTTGTATCGGTTCCGGCGAACCTCGGTCCGGGCGCTAGGTCTCAACGACATGGTTGATTGATGGTAATTTGAAAACCCTAAATTTTTTATGAAAAAAATAAAATAAAATAAAATGGGGATAGTGGATGAGGATTGTGTTCTTTTAATTTTGAGAGAGAAGGCAAAGAGTGGGCTTTATAGTGTTTGCAATATGAGAAGGGCTTGTGCTATCTTGAGTGGTTTGTTTTATAAACTTGAGTTTCTGTAAATTAGTTTTTCTATAATCGATTAAGAGTTTATGAAAAAATAATAATCATTTTTTACTTTTAATCATAATTCAAAATTTGTAATTTTAATTTTTTATTTTATAAATAACTTAATATTGAAATGGGTTAAGTTAAAAGTAGGTTAGATAAAAATGAATAAAAATAGTTTCTTTTTTAAAAAAAAGAAAAAACATATTATAAGTTTTAATTCATAAATCAAAACTTAATTTTATTTTGTTTTTACTGAAAATAAATTTTGTAACAAATTTTTTTTTAAATTAAAAATTATTTCTAACCAAACATAATTATGATTTTTAAAAAACTAAAAGTTAAAAAACAACTTAAAATTAATTTGCAAAAGGCATATGCCAAATAGAACCTCTAGATTTCTCTCTAATGTCCACGATATATACAAAATTCTTGGTAAAATCTACTATCTACACTTTGTATTTTCATAAATTCATCAACTAAATTCTTGTGTTTCTAATTCAATCAATTGAATATTATATATTTCTAATTTCGAGTCAATTGAATACGTTTTTGCAAAATCAAAAGTTAATTTTTTTAATTAAAACTAAATTTATTAGAATATGATGAATGAAGGGTACTTGAAGTTGAAGAATATAAAGTGACCAAATCATTTTATTTGATTTTTTTTTAATTATAAAAAAATGCATTGTGGAATTATTGATAATGTAGTTACTTTTAACTCTGTATAATACTTCGACAATTCAAGTCATTAAGAAACAAAACTAAAAGACTAAGGATTGTTACTTGTTCGGATAGTGCTCATTGTGACTCAAATTCATTGTGGACAACCACCCATTTGTATAGTGTTGCCTTTTTTTGTTGCATCCGAGTCGTCGTTTTTTTTTTTTTTTTTGGCAAATGATTTGTCTTGCTACTTTTCTTTAATTTTTATGCCATCGAGTCGGTTTACGTTACTACCTTTTTGCCCTTTGTTGCCTTTTTTTGCTCCTTAAGCCCTTTGTCCTCTTTCGTCTTTTGCCTTTCTTCTAATGTTGTTGTCTCATCTTTTCCTTTTTCACATCTTTTCTACATCGTTTCTCTTCCATCGCTAGATCGAGTTGATGTTATTGTCTTTTCTTTTCCTTTTTTAGCATCTTTTCTTCATCAAATCGAGTTCATTCTCTTTGCTTTGCTATAGGAAATTAGCTTCTTCTTCTTTTCCTTTTTTGTTGCCTTTTTTTATTGTTTTCTATTGGAACCAATTTGTTTGAGTAGATAGAGAGTTGGGTTTTCTGTTTTGGTCATCCTCACATCTTTTCTCATAGTGGGTTTTTGATGTTAGAACCTCGATCAATCATTATTTGTTGTAAATTTTAGGATCAATTGGCAAAATTATTATGCATCAACTCTTTTATTCGTTGTTGTTCGTTCTTTATCAATTATTTTTATGATTGTTTCATTCATTTCAAATCATGTAAGTGTTTAGATTTTTTTATTTTTTTATGATTGTTGAAGTTTTTTTCTCTTTATTAGTCAATTTTACGCCTCTGTTTAGAGATGCCCCTCTCTATTTCCTCCCATTTTTTATTTTTGTTTTGATGCTTTGCATAGATCTTTGCTATGATCTAATTCTATTTGTGTTAGCTTTTTTAGTTCGGCTTTGATGCAATGATTTTTAGTCTTTTTTTTTTTTGGATTATTTTTTTTATTGTGTTTTGTTTCCAATCGACACATTTTTTCTTCAATTGACACATTTTTTCTTTACTTTGTTTAGAATTTTTTTCCTAATGTATGTTTTTGTGTTGTCTATTCGATGTTTTGAATGAGTTTGATCATCAATTTGTGTTGGATATTGTGTTGTGACTATCTTTCATTGTTTATAAGAGTTCTAGGTATCTTTCGTATTTGCCTTTTATTTCGTCATATGTGTTTTTAGCTTCTACCCAAACACCTTTGATTACTATTCTAATTTAATTTTTTCTTTGATTTGATTTGATTTGTTGCAGCTATTTTTTATCGATACTTATTTCTAATGAGTGGTGTTACCTTTTATGTCATCCTCATATTTACCTATTCTAGGTTACTTTGGCGTTTGCCTTTTGTTTGTGTCCTTTGCTTTTAGCTTCTACTAACATTATTGATTGTCTTTTTTTGTATTTGTTTTTTTCCTCTCGGTTTGATTTGGTTTTGCTATTGCTATTAATGCATGATTATTGTGAGTGGTGTGATCTTTGTTGTCATCCTCTTGTTTGCCCATCTCGGTTAGTTTGATTTTTTGCCTTTTCAATTATTGTGATTCGTTTAGTGTTTTGTTTTTGTTTTTGACAAAAGTTGTCTTTTTTGTTATAAATTTTGGCTTTTGATTTTTTTTTTTTTTTGCCTCTTTCAAATAACTTTATTTTTGTTTTTGTTGTTTTCGAGTTTGATTTCGACTTGTTTTTTTTCCTATTCTTCTTTTTTAAAAATATTTATTTCCTATTTTATTAATAACATGCAACTTCTTACTTTATTATTTTCCTATTTAGGTAGTTTTGGTTGTTGTCATATATGTTTTTTTATTGCTCGTCAAATGTTTTGGTTGTTTTTGTTTCTAGATTTGTGTCTGCCATTCCATTGTATATGTCTATGGGAGTTTTAAACTTGCTCTACAACTTTCTAATATTTTTGTTTTTTTCTTATTTTTTTCGTCTAAACCTTTTCTTTTTAAATAAGTTTTTGTGTTTGTCTCTTGCTTTGATCAATCATGATTTAGTACAATTTGATTTCTATCCACTATATAATGGTTACGTTGCTACAAGCTTATAGTCAAGTCCGTACATGTTGATTATCTTTCTCTACTTAATTACATAGTCGCCATCCAGTCTACTATCGGTTTCGGTGATAGAATGCTTTAGTAGAGTTGCTTCCATGAACATGTATATGGTTTGGATGAAACTTTTTTATTTATTTGATTGTAATGTTAAAGAGGTTCTACGAGTTTTTAGTTCGTTATATTTATATCTTTTTTCATAGAATTTTTAGTTGATTAATGTTTGTTAGAATTGATTTGGGTAAGTCTGCTATTCGGTTTAAAGCTTTTCATATTAACTAGCATGCTTTTCCAGCTTTGACTCTTATTTTTAAAAATGATGTTCGTTATTAGCTTTTAATTTCACCAATCACAAATCATTGTTTTTGTATCAATTATTTCCATGATGGTTTGGTTATTACTAGCTTATGATCCGAGCTTGTTCATTTTTTTATTTTTATTTTTTTCCTTACTACATCCAAATAAGCGGTTATTATCCATCTATTAACAAGAATATGGTTCTAGCATAGTGTTTTGAATTTTTTGTTTTTTACTTATAGAGCTTTTCCTTCACGTGAGACTTGTTGCTTTGCTTGCTAGATATATAGCTTCTTTCTCCATAGATGTTTGTTTGATTTCGATGTTTTTTTCTTCCTTTAGTTTTATTGTGTTATACATTATCGATAGCCATCAAATTACGTCATTTTTTGGATGACTCATAGTTTTCTTTTTTGTTTGTGCCTTCGACACATGGTTCTTTCTAAATTCCTTTTGTTGCTTGCTTTATTATTGATCTTATCGGTTATATCTTGGTTGTGTTATAATTTTTGAAACTTCTCTTTCTTTTAGGTATACATCTAATCTCTTTATGATCTGCATTATTGATGTTCATTGTCCTTAAGTTAGCGGATATGCTATGTTTAAGCCTTTTTCTTCTAAAGAACAGTTTATCAATTTTTGCTCCTTACATTTCTTTTTCTTATGCTAGTTTTTCATTTTTTTTATACTAGATTGATGTTTGCATAACTATGTTGTTAGCCTTTTAATTTTTTGATGACGGTTTGTTGCTTGTCAATGCCTATTGTAAATTGTGATTTGCTATTGTTTTGTTCGATCTTAGGCATAGTGGTAACAATTTTTTTCCAAATTAACTCAATCTATTTAGGCTAATTATAATAAAAAATATAATCTATTAATTAAAGTCTATTTTGTCTCTTTAGCAAGCAAGTTTTTTTACAGTTTCTCTTCATTTTGCATGTACAACTAAAGTTTTTGGGTTCTATAATTGTTATTTGTTATTGTAGGGTCATGAGATGTGTTATGTTCAAGCCTTGTTTTTTTTAGATAACTTACTATTTTTTACTTCGATACCTACCTTTTCCATTCTAGTTTTCTCTGTTTTGTTGTTCTTTATTGATCATTTTGATATTCTTACTTTGCCATGTTATTTTTTCAATTGACAATTTGGTTTTGTCTATGCCTTTTGTTAAGCATTTTTTATTGTTGTTTTTTGTCTAGACCTTTACATGATGGTCAAACATAATGTCAGCAATATTTTAATCTATTTAGGTTGTTTATTTCAATGCATCTAAGTAGTTAGTTAACATCGATCTGGTCTTGTCGATGAGTAGGGTTTTGGCATCCCCTTTGTGTGGCTAAGAAATTATTCTCTTTGTTATGCCATAATAACATACTACAATAATTTTCTTATACTTATTTGCCTATTGCTAGCTGCTTATTTTGAGTTTAGCAACTCTAGAATTCCTCGATAGTTTGATTTCGAAGCTAGCAACCGATTTGTTTTTTATTACAAGTTTTAGGTGCTATTTTTATCAATAATTAATCGATCATGTCGATGGCATCATCATCTTCTAATAGATGCCCTACTTGTATTATGTGAGGTAGATTACCTTTACATGTATAGTTCATTATGTTTGTGCCTATTTTTTGCTATATATGTTTTTGCTTGACTTCTATTTATTATTGCTTATTAGCATAAGTAGTTGTTCATTCCGCACCTATTGTTCAAATTATTTTTGCCTTATGAT